TTCATCTTTTGACTGGACTTGAAAAAGGACTTGAGACTGGACTTGTGAAAGGACTTGATGGACTCTGTTACAGCACTGCTCAGAGGAAATCGCATGTCCTCTTAGCGCATGATGTGAGGCGGAGTCCTCAGTCGATCTTTATACCTGAATTGCTCTATTTTGCAGGATTTGATAGCTTGGATTAGATCCAAGTCTCATAGTGCCGCCTATGGATCCCCTATGGCTCCCCCCGTAGTACAACAAGTCATAGCCAGTATGCGAACCATCATGGGAGAAGATGGCACAAGCATTGGTAAGATTCTAAACACCCCATCTTTTTTTCAGTGGGAAATTTTTGTAAACTGGACTCTCAATGTTAGATACGATGGAACAGGAAGTCATTTGCCACCCAACATTTTATACTTAGAATATCTGATGCATATTCACATTTTTGTGAACAATTTACTGATTTTAGATTCTTCAAGTTGGATTATGATGTTTTTTGCACATTCAGTGTGGTCAAGATATTGAACGTACATGTAGCAGGTAGTTTGTACAACCTTGAGTCTGTCAGGAACGTCAAGGTTCTGCACATTGGAAATGTCTCTTATGAAATGTTGGCAGATGTTTACACAAGGCATGGCAAGACAGATTTAGTTTCCCAAACTTGACATTTGCATCATCTTTCTATGATTTCAACGGTATTCCAAGTGACAATAAAACTTGTTTGACGCAGATAGTCAATATTTCACAAAGGTGTTGTAAAAGTTTGAAACCTGTTTCTGAAATCAAACCTTTACCTAAATTTGAGTTAATATTATGAACAGTACTGTCAAGTGCATAGTAAATTTCATATCTGTTTTAAAACATGTTATTTATTACAACCACTTGTTTTGAAATCTTCAGTCCCATGTTCTGGAGCACAAACAAAGAACAGGGTTTTTTTGTTGTTTGTAGATGTTCTTGAGTACTTGTACAGTTTCAGTGTTGTCAATCTTTTGAGAGAATGTTTGTCGCTTTTTTTCTTCAAAGGATCGAATCGCATTAGTCGTCTGGCTTGGAATACCCAGTATTTTCGCCATCATCTGCGAGAGATGGGGTTCATATTTTATGGCAACCAGGACTCACCTGTCATTCCGATTGTGATTTGTGTGCCAGCCAAAGTACCGTGAGTAGATCTTATCAATGTGTGAAGTGTGATGCCTAGGGTTAGGTCTGGAATGAGTGGACTTCAAAACCTAGTGGCTTTGTACAGCATGAGAAGGAATCATTGCAGGCACTGTGTTGCCTACTCATGAGTGTTTGGCTGTGCTCAAGACTTAGGGCTGTGGCTGTTGATAACACAGCTGCTTATGGAAGCCACTAGCTAGCGGCTGTAACCACTTCCCATGAGCATGTGTATGACTCTCAGATTTTGCCACTGGATATTGTAAAAGAAACCTGTGTTGCAAACACTTGATTTTTCAGCCTCAAATTAAAGCCTGTAAATCTGGTCTACAGTAAAAATGCTTCCGAAATAAAAATGAAGTAAAATTTGACTAATTCTTAGTCACAGAGAATGGAAATGATTAAATTTGATGATTGGATGTAGTTTTCAAGAGAACATTCCTTATGCCATATACATGTAATGTAAAATGTAAACATGAATGTTGGAAACAGTTACTAATCAGCCATTCTAATTGTCTTATTTAATTTCAGCACATCAAAAAAATAGTAAATAGAACATTTTATGCTATATTAAGCAGTGCTGTGCAGTTGGGTCCTGATTTTTGTAAGAGAGGGTTTAATGTAAGAGTTGTGCTTTGATTAACAAGAGACCAGCAGCAAGCATCCTCAAAGTCTCTTAGCATATCTACTTCCTTGTTCTTTTTTCTTACAAGTTGTCCTTGACCCTTCTTCCCCTATCCGTTGACACAAATCAATGGCAATTTGATTGCAAATGAGTGGATATTGTCATCAGCTAATGTGACCATCATCCATGCCTACATGGTTTGCTATACGAATCTCTTCTTGTTGCTTTTGTTTAGGGCATTCAGCCGAATGTGCCGTAAGCGTGGTCTTGGTATCGTTGTCTGCGTATTTCCTGCTACGCCACTGGTTGAGAGCAGGGCAAGAATCTGTCTATCAGCAAGCCACACCAAGGAAATGCTGGATAAGGTACCAGAGTTAAACCTCTCGTAAGAAAATCAGGGGGTAAAGTCTGCATGACGGGAAATGTGAAAGCCAGAAAGTTTTGGATTCTACCATTGGTTTTGCATTGCTTCATTTGTAGCTTCAATGTTATACACTGAGTGATGACAAGAGTAAGTCCCAGCCAGGTACATGTATATTTTGGCTGTGGCTGTTGCCCTTGGGTCATTCATGTAAGAATCTTTATCCATAGATGACAACTCCCATTTGAGACATGGCCGAGGTCGCACATTATCCAGCGTGTTTCCATACAGCTACGTTTGACCCGATTGCCAGAACCCTCAGGCTTACAGTCGTGTCCATCATAACAAAACAAATTCATTGTTTATTTAAATAGCCTTTGACTTGGCTTGAGACTAGATAACTTGTCTACAACTCGACTGCAACCCTTGTGCTTGGTGTTTTGTTTTGTTTTTTAATTTTTGCCACTTCCATAAGCGGAAGAACTATTTCGTCTTAAGGGAGAGAAACGAGGAATATGCAAAACTGTAAATTTGAATTGCTCCTCTTTGTTTGTAGGCTCTGGAAATCATAAGTGAGGTGGGTGACTTGTTGAGCTGTAAATTGTCCAAGCTGCCTAAACCCCCACCAAGGGAATGGACCGACCAACCTCCACTTGTGGAGGACTAGAATCCCTTCTGATGTATGCACATGGAGTCCATCCAGCCGGAATCTTGGTGTTCGTAGATACTCCAGCCTGAAGTAGTGTCTTTTGTTTGGTTTTCTTGGTCGTAGCAGCATATCCATATCTGTAGAAATTTGGCTTTTTCTCTTGCCATTCTGAAATAAAATGGCTCATTAGCCATAGTTCCTGTCAATGAGGCTATCACGTCATGGACTTCTACAAGGATGGAGCCCTGAACCCCTCAGTACAGAACCTTGAGTTGTGAAGATGGCTCAAATGGGTTGTCAACTATTAGCAAATGAACATGTAATAACAGCCACATGCAGTGAGAATTTTTGAAGGCTGATTAAGACAGGAAGGTAATGACCTATCAAACTTGTGCCCGTAACTGAGAAGAACTTTCCAATCGTTCAGTGCATGTGAACTGCTTGTGATGGTCGGCATCAAAGAAGTGATGTCGCTGAACATTTTCAATCAAGCTGCATGCACTGTGAGTGAATGCAGTTGGAACAACGATAGACATGTTGGCACACAAGGCCCTTGTCTTATGTGATAAAAACAACCTAGTTCTTCTGGTGCGGTATTGTCTTGCTGTCTCAGTGAAGTAATAGTATCTTCCATGATATTTGACTGCTACCTTAAAGGAAAATTGTCTTGTGGAGTAAAAATAAATTATACACATTTATAGACTAAAACTGAATGGGAAAATTGTCAAATGGAAATAACAATCCTTCTAATGACGAGTTTGAAAAACTGTTTTTGATTCAACAACTGTGAATCCAGAAAGGTCTTCTGAACTCTGAAGTTGAATTTGTTTAAGAGCCTGATCACAGATTTTTTTTTTCAGCAGTAAAGTGAATGCTACTCTCTTGAGTTAACTTTGAATATTTAATAAGGTAATAAATATGCGTTTGGCCAGTTATAAACAAGCTTGTTTCAGATCGGCTTGGCCGTCAAAGCTGTGAAAATGACCCTCGTCTTTGGTTGGGGTCATTATCAGCTTTTATCAGTAAAAGTAGATGATATGCATCAGGGCCATTCATATGTATATGTTTTCATACAGTTCAGCAAAAACTCTGAAAGTTTTGTATGTAAACTTCTCTACTTTTCCACTTTGTGTGTTTGTTTCCCCTCTTCTGTACACAGTGTACATTAAGATGATTTAAATGACATGAAAAGGCCGTTACTACCATCGGTAATCTAGGAGATTGTTCAAGAAAAACAAAACCTAGTATAAAAATTATCAACATCTGAAATTCTTTTTTCCTAATATTAGCAAACACAACACTGTACATGGATATGCCACCGAATATAACCTGACAGTTGTAAATTTAAAAAAAGACTGACTTTGATAATTTCGATAATTTTCATTTACTGAAAATGGTTCACTTGGGAGACGTTCCCATAGGAACGCGCACAAAATTTTTTCAAACTCTACCATCCCATAATTCAATATTCCCTAATCCGATCTTAACCAAACTTTGCACGTTTTCCTTTCAGACCCTAATCTATCATCTCTCAAAATGTGGACGGTAAAAATTTTTCTCCTTTTGGTAGTTGGAGCATTAGGGAGACATTGAAATGTTCCCTAATGACCGATGTCTCCCTAATGTTGAAAAGTGTAACACAAAATGTCTCCCAAGTATTTGGAAATATTTACTTTCAACTATGACAGACATCAAACAGGTTGGTTGCACTTATGCTTTACAACTTTTGAGGCTTGGTCAAGAAGTTTAAATACTAGATGCTTTTTGTTAATTGTCTTACATAACAATGATATTCAAAAGTGGTTTTAAACATGATAATTCTCTTGCCCAAAGTATTCTGGGCCTTGAAATGCACCCACATTTGGTGGAACCCTTAAGCTTCTTTGATTAAATAAATACATTTTGAAATTGTGATGTTACCCAAAGATGCCAGTGCATTGTAGTGTATATGTATTTAGTTGTTCAGGGGCCACTTTTGTTGCTGGGTGGTGGTTTATCAACCATTCAGCACTGGTCATATGACAGGATATTGACCAATAGGAATGGCTATTTAACTGTCTCAGGTTTTTATGAATAGACAGTAGGATGTACATGTAGACTAACTTTATTGTGTTCTTGTCCTGCTTCAAAGGATATAGATGTACATTGACTGTATATTTTATGTCTTCGGTATTTTTTTCTGCTTTTTAAAGTAAAGGACCGCTTGACGTTCAAGAAAATTAGCCGTCACTTTTTTTTTTAAGTTTGCAACTTCACTGATAGAAAAATTTTAAGTTTGATTAACACTGAGGCTGGTTGTTATTTATTATATGATAAAAGAAAGGGCTGGATTCAGATCCTTTGGCTACGTGTAATGTGCCAGTCTCACAGAAAAAACTTACTCCTGCCCCTCACGTTGATTGGAACACCCTCGTGCTGCTCTAAGCATTGGATGCAATTATGTGTTACTATCATCTATGATGAAAACGCCTGAAGTATCACTGTCACACAGTTTCTGAATTGGAAAACATTTATTGATTCATCAGAAAGGAGGAAAGAAAAGGTTTGATTCCCTATTTTCTGTAAGAGGGCTCAGTGGTCATTGGAACACTTAATCTTGTATTCCTGTTGTCAATTCTGCATAACAAGCACAGACTGTGTTCTACTTATCGCACTGCCTGAATTATAAGACAGCACAGAAATGAACTTGGGGCTTGAGGAAGTACAGTGAGCAAGAAGTTCCAATGTGTTGTCACGATGCAGTAGCTGGTAATGGAAGCTGTTTTCCTTGTCAGGTTATGTGAGTAATAGACACACAGTACATGTATATCTATTTCATCATTGATGTATACAATTGTTATGTACCGGTACATGTGACCTGCTCTGTAAAAATGAGTCAGAAGGCACTGGAGCCACTTTTGAGTTTTACATTATATTAGATGGAGGAAACTGAGCGCTTTGTTTTTGATGTGTCACTCAGTTTGGTGTGATGAAAATGGACATTGTTTTAGATTTTAAAGCGTTGAGGATTCCTACTGTTTAAAATGCTGAACAAGATTCTTTCAAAGGCCTTTAACTCAAAAGTGGCACTGGCGATATGTAACTCACTTTTGCAGAGCTTGTCACGTATTTGATGGCTTGGACAAAGCCGTGCACCGAGTAGCAATGTTTGGAATCCCAAATTAAAAATTTAGCGTTCACTAAATACAAGTAGTGGACAAAAAACAACAAATGTAATTTGAGGTAAAGATGAAGTTACCTGACGTCTTGCTTGCTGGACTCTGGTCATGATGCTCCAGTGAATTATAGTCATTGATTCCGGAACCAGACTACCTTGAGGCTGGCACGTATTACATAACCAATGGACCTTGACTGTAATATACTTCCAATTTTACTGTACATACTAATATTATAACACTTATATATTCATTAACTTTGTAGTATTATAGGACAGTGAAATGTTCAAGAGAACGTTGATGTAAGCATTCCGTGTTTGTTGAGACCATTGCCCAGCTTGAATGCTCAAAAGACAAGTCCTCAATGGGTTTTGCTTGACTTGGCATAACCTGCAGGCCTTTCAATATGTTAATGAACTCAAGAACAAGTAACTTAGTGTAAATTTAATAGCTCTATGTTCACAGATTTTGGAAATGCTTTAACTCGTTACAGTCCCTTTGATTTCTACAACCTAAAAGTATCACGTAATTAGTCAAGTAATTATTGAAAATGTGCCTCCAATATCTACCTTCCCGATGTTGGCTGCTGTATTACAGCTGAAATACATATTCATTTTGTTTGTGTTCTTTCAATTAGTCATTTCAAAGATAGATTTGCGCTGGGGAGATGTAAATTAATTTTGGACTTTTGCCCTGCCTGACGTGTATTTTAACACTTTGTACTCAGAGCATGCCCCTGAAGGCTTGTGAAAAAACTACAAGCTTAATCGGGTGGGACTCGAACCCACGACCTCCTGCTTAGTAGTCTTTTGATTAGGTTTTTAAAATGACAAAATAAATATTCAGCTCTTAAGTTGCAGAGGTAATATTTTGGCCATGTTCTGTGGTGGCAGTTTCCTCCACGCTCTGCTGAAATTCATATTCACCAGCTTTGAACAGATGTTTGTTCAGATAAGTAACCAGGTAAAAAAAGCACATTCCTCCATGTGCTATTAATGCAGCTAGAGGCTTTGCATGCTGAATAGCACGCAAGTAGGCAAATAAATCGGAGAGACCCTATGCATAACTTTCTTAAGTAGAGCAAAGTAGTTCTGCGTGGAACCAGACGTGCTACCCAGTACCTGTGAACACTTCTACCAGAAGAAGTTTGACATTTGTGAAAACAAGATGCTTTCTGGAGTATGTTATGCATGGTGGATCTGAAACTCGTCAGTCTTGTAAAGCCTTATGAATCAGTTGCCACTATGCAGTTGATCAAAAAGCGGGAGTTTTTAGTGATGCTACAAAACAGCAGAACATAGTTCATGACTTCCAAAAATTGTTTGTGAAGAGTGAAGCATCATGGGTAGTGAGGCATCATGGGTAATGAAGCTTTGTTGGGCTGAACATCTGTGTGCCCACCTCAGAGAATCTTACTTTGGAATCATAACATGCAAAAGTGTACAATTGTTGTGTTGTAGGTGACGTCTCATGACAAAATTTGTAGGTTATTTTATTAAGTTTGTCTGCAGTGACACAGATATTTATGCATTATTGAATTTCATTGTGTAAGGGTATTGTTCAAAGAAAATTTGTTGGTGTGTGGTTTAGATTTTCTGAGTGACTTGCCAGTATGTTTTAAACTGAAGTTACAGAGGTGTGTGTGTCTGCGTGCTTACGGATTCCGATGCATGCTTGTAATGCAGGTATTGTTATTTCTGTTATGTCTTCTCTGTGATAGGTGTTAGAGATCATTTATGATCATCAACACAATGGAAAGAATTTCCAGTATGGTTGACTGGCCAAATCTTGACTTCTTGCCCAGGATGTAATGCTGGTTTTCCCAAGAACTGGACAAAGTGGATTAACCCAACTCAAATGATACATCTAATGTATTTAAAGGTGTTTCAGTCGTGCTTGCTATGTGACTGGTAACATTTAGGTAATATCACACAGGAACTTTGTCCACAAGAATGCGGGGCTTTTACAATAGCGTGCCTCCAAGAGTTTGCAATGCGTTGGCCAATGACAATGCACGACATCTTTCGACCCAGTGAGCGTTTGGAAAAGGTTGACATATTTCGCGCATTGTGATTGGCCAACGCATTGCAAACTCTTGGAGGAGAGCTTTTGTGAATCCCTCGTATTGGACTTCCAGCTGGTAATGTTATACTTCCATATGAAATAGGTCGTATTACTTACAGGAAAAAAGGAAATATTCCATGCTTTAAAATGTGTTATACATTGCTTTGTTCTTCAATAACTACAACCAGTCTGCAATGTTATTAGAAACTGGAAAGCATGTATCTGTTAGATGCGGTGTTTCTTATATAATTTATTGTATTTTCTCTTTGTAGAATTATACATGTTCCTTCACTGTTGATTTATTTGTTGTAAGGCCTCATGCCATTGTGTTTCCTGTTTATTCTCCAAATTGTCTCAAAAATGTTTTTCCAATTCGTTACAAAAAATCAAAGATGTCAAAATTAAGATGGAAACAAATGAGTTTTTATTAATGTACAGTTTCCAGATATGACTACTGAGTTGGACAAGTAATCACCTGAAGGCCCTGCAATTTTTGCTCGTTTTCAATTTGCTATATTACACTATAGCAATATTGTACTCCCAACAATTGAGACAAATGATTGTGAAAGGCTTTGTATTTTGTTTATATGTCCTATTTGGCTACAACCGTTGGTGGCCAATGTTGACCACTTACTTGGAAAAAAAAAGTTACTGACATGCTCACCTACTTCTTTTTTAAGAGTACAAAAACATATGCCAAGATCAGTTGTTGAAGTATACTCTAAGGTGATGATTAGACTAGGAGATGCAATGGAGTTGGAATGACAGTAACTGTTGTGTTTTTCTGTATGATTGAAGCCAAGAGCAGAGTCTGATATCTTGGACATCGGTGCTGAACCTGTGTCAGTTAGTTCTGCTTTTAGACGGCACTTGAATCTCATTTTCATACAATAATTTATTGATTATGTTACTTTTGGGGGGGGGTTAAAATCCCCCCTCCCCCATTTTCCAAATTAATGGCATTGTGCATGTCTTATAGTGACATGCATGAATTATCGTTCAACCTATTGGGACCAAATCAAGGTGTAAATCTGTCACTGCTGTCAAGCCAGGCACTAAGAAAGGGTAGTATTAGTGTTCATTCTAATTTGGGAAGTCAATATTGTGTAAAACCTTCATTTGCCTCGCAAGAGGACCCACATCCATTTTTTGTTCTCACCTGATTGTGTTGTACCCATCCTTACTCCTAGCTTAGTTTTCATTGACGTTGAAAAGTATGCTTATAAAATTAATTTATTTCAGTTGAAGGATTGTGGAACAAAAACTTATGCTGTTTAGCATAAAGTAACTCTCACTTCAACAAAAACCCACGTGACTAACCTAAATATTCTATTTAGCTTTGTTTTAAGACAATCCAACTGAATATTCATTAAGATTGTCAGGAATGCCAAAAGTTCCATTCCAATCTTCAACACAGTCTTTGCTCGAAGGAAGCGTACTTGAGCTGGTCTCAACATAACATTGATGTGTATTCCATTGTGCAATTTCCAAATTTCTTTTCCTTGATATTACATGAATGGGAAAAAATGAATTAAATCAATATATTCCTGGAAGGTCAGTATGGAATTTGCCTATTTTAACTGATGGAATGATAACATTAGTTTGTAATTGTATTAAGAACTATAAATTGAACATTTGATGCGTAAAATGTATAGAAATTGTACACATGAGACAGAAAGTTTGCAAATCTGTACTTGCCTATTCTTTTCCATGACACCATTTTTGGAATAAACATTGCTGGACTCTGTAATATACGAAGAAATTGGCCATTGAAGAAATAAGCCAGATATTGGAAAAAGTTTTACTTTCATTCAAAAAGTTGATGTATCAAGGAGAGTTGGAATTGTTTGTTACTAAGCTCAAGTCAGTTCACAAATTAATTCACAAATCAGGTCAGACCTAAAGAGATGAACAGTGACAAAGGAATGGTGGCATGAACAATGTACATGTATGTCACAGTTCATTTGTAGAAAAGCTTGTGAGTTGACCTAGGACTGAATGACTTGTGACTGACTTGTGACTGACGCGATTTCAACTATTTGAAGAGGTACGGCTTTCCACCATTTCCTTAAACACTTGTACAGTCCCATTATTTTAAATTAATATACAGTCAAGAACACTGTTGTAACAAATACTGTTGTAAAGAGCAAATTCTAAAGAGCCCAAGTTTTTCTAATTTTTGTGTTTTCTTTGTGCTTTCCACTCCTTTTATAACAAAGTCTTGGTTATAAAAAAGTGATTTGCCTGGTCCCTGTTACTTTGTTATCATGAATTGACTGTGTATATTGAACAGCAACATCTTGTTAAATTTCACTCTTTAATTCTATTTAATTTAAAATGATGTATGTGTTATCAGTATTTGTATTAATTCAAATGTGGATTTTTTTGTATTTTATGTATTTGGGTATACTCTGTTACGGTGAACTATCCAGTGAAATTCAATAAAACTTGCAAACTAAATCTCTTTCCTGTGATATGCTCGTTGTTTTCGTACTTTGTTTTTCCATTTGATCAAGTGGAACTGCATGATATTTAGAAATGTTGTCTTTTTGAACAGTTAATTTTGTTTGCTAGTGGTTTCTTGATTTTAATTGTTTTGACCAGTAAGCCACAAAAGGACAATCAAAGTTTTAAGTGACATTTCTGGAATTCATGATTCAGAAGATGATTTCTCAAGGAATTTCAGATATATTTGTATCCATCATTTGACACTAAATAAAAAATGTGTTTGATTTAATCATGTTTTATTCCTCCATGGTTTAATAGCGATTTTGGATGGGGGTTAATTTTGTATGACACAGTGGATTAGGAAATATTTTAGATCGTGCAATGAATGAAATGATTGGACCGCTCTTCTACGCGCATACCCAATGAACTTGGCTCTTCCATTTTATTAATGACGAGCACGCAAGGGCAGTGCCGGCCGACCTTTGACCCTGGTGGCGCACAGCCCTTTTGCATTACGTCATGCTTTTCAGAGATTTGCGAAATCTTCAGCCATATTGAGGAGTGAACGTGCCAAACGGTAGAGAACAAACCTTTATTGTAACGGAATTTTATAACTCGCAGAGTGCTTTTAAGTGAAACAAATTAACTGTCATTTTCGCAGGATTCTGAGGTTTTTTGTTTGCTGGGACATAGGTAGGTGCATCCGAAATGGCTGATTTTGATCAGTTCAGTGCAGAGCCAACGCACGAGTCGTACGACAACGACTTCGAGCGGTTAGATCCCGACTCCGTAGAAGGTAAGATTGCCGGCGAAAATCCCGAGGAAGATCTGTATTCAGCAGACTCGTCCCAGATCCCAACGGGCGAGCTCCTATCCTTTGAAGACAGCCCACCGACGGAGACACCACGCAGTGGCTTCGATGCAGGCTTCAGTAATCCCATTCCGGAGGCGGTGCCTGATTCGACGAGTTATGAGCCCGAATCAACGCCCGATGCCCCGAGTGATCCTTGGGCGGCGTCAGAGGCCGTTGAACGGCAGCCTACGCCACCTCCAGCACCCGCCCCGATACAGACGGAACCTGAGCCCGAGCCCACACCAGCAGCACCCGTCAAAGAATATGAACCAACTCCTACCCCACCTAGCTCACCAGCATTAGGTTGGTATGCATAATGTTAGGCTTTAATTTGAAAGGAAAAAGAAAACGTTTCAGGCCTTTTTTTCCCTTGCAGTGCCAATGGTTTATGTTTATGCCCTGAGACGGTGACAGCATGTCCTAAAACTAAAAGTCAAATTTAGCAGTGAAACTATTGAATCATTTACGTAGAAAACATTTACGGTCTCAGGCTAGGGCCTACATGATTTAGAATTTTTCATATTACTATTACTAAAGTATTAGTAGTGCACATGTTAAGTGATGTCTGTGTGTGGTACTCTTTCCATAATTTAGAGAAGATAATAATTCAGAGAAGAACATAAAGAATTCCATAAACAGATGACGCTTGACACGCTGTGCATTTGCACAAAAACAAGTGTTTTCTAACACGAATACCTCAATACTGTATTTTCACTGGTCGCTGCAGGGAAATATTAATCAGAACATGGAATTCTTTCTGAGGGTATAAAAAGCTTCACACATGCGTTTAGTCTGGTACAAGAATATTCAGTAATTGCAGATTTCCCTTTTCTCACCAGAAAATGAGACTTTTTTCCAAGATTGTCCATTTGATACCAAGCACTAAGCTACAGGACTGGTAATGCATGAAGTTCCACAGCACTGTTGGACATTTTTGCCAGTTTTGTTTTCAGTTCATGCCATAGATCTTTTTTAAATTACAATAATGCTAACTAAATACTTGTTATTTCCCACACAGAGAAGCTTTAATGCCTCCTCGCGTGATTGGAAATCATGCTCGTATTTGTTGAATATTAAAATATTAATCAGACGGAAAGAATGCTGAAAGTAGTCTAAATGCAAGATACAATTTTGTCCATTTCCCGATAATAAATTTGGTATCTGCAGGGTATACCGGTATGCATGCATTTGTTCTTGGCATGTCAGCTTTGTTAAAAGAGTACAAACACATAGGGCCTACTGTACATACATGTACATACATACATGTACATGCAAATAACCGTACAAAAGCCATACAAAATGTCAAGATTTCCATTTCCGGGCTGTACCCGGCAGGCTTAACTTAGCACAGTGAGTTGGCACTCTAGTAATTGTATACCTGTAGCTCTGTGGTTCATGCATACCGGTATGTGTCTCTTCTACATGTAGCATTTCTGCTTCACACACTGTACTTCCTGGAAAAAAATAAGATTTCATCTTCTTCCTATGATGTTATCACCACTGTGAATCCAAAGTTGTGAGAGTAGATTTGTGCTGAACTCCACAATTGCTGAGTCATGGGACAACTGCTAAAGCTTAATTTTTAACTTAACTGTGTTTCGAAAAGGGCATCTCATGAAGAAGGCTTCAAAGGGCCTTAGAAGTATTTTTTATACCTTGCCTTATTGTTTTTGAGGGTTGTGTGTATTTCCAAGTTCCAACCTTTCAGAGGATAAAATCAAAACTGTACAAAATCAAATGTCTTTGACATGGAAAGTGGTTTTTACAATGTACATGTAAATAAAGAGTGCTGCAGTTTGGTTTAAATCCTTCCTGAAATTTGCATGATAATACATTTTTCATCTTCTGGTCCAGCTGCCAAGTACATATACATGTAATGCGCACCTGTTCATCCCTGAAGCTTGAAACCACCACAGCATTTTTTCACTGGATGGTATTCACCTCTGACCTTTCCACTTACAGAGAGCACAGTTTTTGCCTATTTGGAGGCGGACTTGACACATTTCTTGTTTAAAAGCTGTAGCTGGGGAGCCTTTTACATGTATATTCCAAGGAATATTATATTCTAATGGATTTTCAGCTCCATAGCTAATCAGTATTTAATCAGTATTTGTTTGCTTTCCTGGATATTGATAGTTGTTAACAATTTTGTTATAAACATGTTTGGAAAGGTCAGGAGTTTGCAACACAAAACTCCAATCCATTAGCTAAGTTTCTAACTTCATTCATGGAACGGCTTATTAATAATGGAATGAATTGACCCTGTTTTTGCATTGTGCATGCTATACTTCTCCGCAGGAGCCTTGATTGATACCTCCAAGATCGACCCCAGAGGTACTGTCTGTTCCTTTGGAACATCATTTGTGATCATTGTTTCTTCCATGTGTTAATCATTTTTTTTCCTTTTTTTTCAGTCGTGGCTTGCTTTTGTAAACATTGATAATGTTTGTCTTTTCATGGTTGGTGTTTACTAACGCATACTGTACTCCTCATAGTTTCATGTATTTCTAACATAATAGAATGAACATTCATTTATAATGAATACAGCATAATTGTGTTAATTATTACAGCTTTGTAATGTACAGTGATATTTTGTTATACCGATAACTATTCCATTTGCAAACTACCTGCTTCCATTCCCTAAAGGGCCTAAATCTCATTCATTTACTTACATGTACATGTGACAGTCCAACATGTTACTTTTTCCATAATGTTTCTCTGTTCATTTAACTTTTTGCATTTAATATGTTAAATAAAGCAAACCTGTCTTTTCATGGGAAAATGGGTGTCTCATACCATACACAATTCTTAGCATACATGTATGTAATCCATGTCAAGTTACATGTAAGTCCTTCATGAACCTTTTGTCGGTTTTGATATCTTTGAAATGATGATGACTGGAAAGACCACGAATTGCATAAAGAAATAAATTCTATTTTTTTCTGTGAAGTTCACTCCTTTAAGAAAAGTGAAATTCCAAATCATTTCTTTGTTGATTGCTCTATAAATTGGAACATTTCTAATCAGAAAAACCCATGCTAGGAAGAGCAGGAAAGAGTCAATGCCATGTCTGTTCTTGTGAGTGGTTGTACATGTAGATGTACAGTACATGTATGTCATGTGCATGTATGTGTACATGCACTAAAACCCCTGTTGGTGTCTAACTTGAGTCTTGGTTCCCTCCATGGGTTCTATTCCAGAACATACATGTACATGTACATGTAGATCATGTACATGTACCATTGTGTACCTTCTAGGTGAAATCTGAACTTTGTTACTGTGGATATCAGTATATTCACATACATGTAGGTACCAGTAGTGTGCAGTGTACCTGTATGGTACATGTACATGATTTACATGTGTAAATGTACATAATGTAGTCTACAGTGTAGACTGAGTTTTGTGAAAAAATACAACGTCCATAAAATGCATGCACCAGTACCATGACATGTATGTTTAAATATTTACCTGTTCAAATCCCTCTGATTGGCCAACTACTTGATTGGATCATCTACATGTACATTTATATACCCGAAATACATGTACATGTACCAGTATGCAGGCATGTTGAAGGGTCAGTGTCTCCTGCACCGTAGTTGTGGGGACATACAACTGTACATGTACATGTATATGTACACTACATAATATACCGGTACACTCAACATTTCACCTACTGGTATGTGTATGTTACGGGGACCAAAACATTGTGGGGACTCGGAAATGTCCCCACAACTCGCTTCAAATTTCACTAACAAAGGAACCTTTCCCCTGAACACAGTGAATGCCTACCCAGAATAACCTGTTAAAACCCCTCTGGCAGTTGATCCAGTATTTGATGAGATCATTTGCATACATGTACTTATGCATGCATGTCGGGAGGGTGAATATACATGTAACCTGTAATTAAAATCCTTCCGATTGGTCCAGTACATGTTTTTGATGGATTCATTTGCATACATGTGTAGAAAACATGGCCGGACCCCAGCATAAGGCTGGGGCTCCGGTATGGGTATGGGGTACGAGTAGGAAAAACAATTGATAGGTACCAGTCTATTACGAATCATGTGTTGTAAATGTGAGCTGTGAGTCACTATTGAATTGGCAGCCCATTCATGAATAAATGACTAATTGTAGTTCCTCTCACTAAGCATACGGCGACAATTTGTGTTTCCTCTTGCTTCAATATTGGGTTTGACAATCCTGATCACAGGGTCATTGGTGGGGCAAATCATCGTCATTGTACCGGTACATGTACACTCCTGATTTGTCCCAGTTGTGTAGGTGCGGTGCATTGGCACCAGTTCATCCAGATCAATCTACAACATGATTAGATGTCACAATGATAGTATCCACAACCAGAAATTGACAAAAGCCTGGGGTGACTATTGTGGCATTAATTAGCCTGGCATTATTTGTGAATACAGCACATTTCTTAATTGGTGCAAACAAGACAAGTACATGTAGTGCAGTGACTCTATAATGTTTTACATGTTGTGTTCATGCAGTTTGTTACAAATCCCTTGTGTACCCTTTACATTTACCGGTACATGCAGACATGTGGGTGTGTGAATTTACATGTACATTTTGTTATGGTTTTTAATTGAATCAAGCTTTAAGAAGTACTTTTTTCATAGATGTTTTGAACCAACACTGTTTGATGGATGATGGAACCAATAATCTGATTTCATTTGTGAATGTACATGTACACCTACAAATTGTATTGTAAGGCATACTGTACATGTTAGCGAGTTTTTTACAACCTGTTTTGTTGTACGTGCACAGGGTAACGCGTACATCATGTACACTGTGTCAGTTGTAGTATGTACACTGTACATTGTGTTCAGGCATGCTGAATGTGTTCTACATGTACTGTAGGTACTTCATGTACATGTCTGGTTTAGTACCATACATGTAGCGTCAGGCCAGACTCATCATGTACTTGGTACATGTATGATTCACCTTGGCAGGATATCTCAAGGGTTTCCCTGTAGGAAGTCATGTCTGCTCCAGAGACATCCGCTTCTTTCTTGTCATTCTGCAGCAAAATGAAAGAAAACAAAGAAAACTATGTGTGGGAGTACTTGGGCGTCAGACAGCCTGAGATATCACACTGAATATTCATGATCTCAAAAGTGTAGCATGGACATGAATTAACATGCTCACTGCTAATGTACAGTGAATACATGTCATGTACAATGTACCGGTGGTGTACATACCAGTACATGTAGATTGTACATTTGTGCTTCAGGGTTATTAGAGATTCAAAGGGATACCGGCTAATGTTATCTGATACTTCTAATATGGGCAATTCATAGCTCAGTGTACCGCCAGGAGGTTGCCGTGGCAGCCTTTATTGCATCGTGAGAAAATAGTCAACAAATTCTATTCATCAGCTTCTTTGTGCGCAGGGAACTTGAATACGGGCGATTCACAATAGTGCGCCTCCACGAGTTTGGCCAATCACAGTGCGCTAAATCTGTCGACCCAATGCGCTTTCGGAAGGGTCGACAGATTTCACGCGTTGTGATCGGCCATCACCCGTATTGTTCATGGTTCTTGAATTGTTCTCCTGACGAACATTGGACTAGGGTTTTTGAGTATTAGTGTTAATTAATCAAAGTGATGGTTTTTGAAAGGAACATGTAAAGTGTGCCCTGATCAATCAAACAGTTTCCTCAAGTTGTTTGTTGGCGTTGACATTTGCTCTAATGCAAATGATAGCGAGTCGGCCATGTTTTCGTTGACTGTAAACTCAAAAAATGTACAGTGAAAAATTAACACTCAGATAAACGTAAAATAAGCACATTAAATACCCTTGTAATTAATGTCATTCAAATGCATGTAAATGAGTAAAAAAATCCACAAAGACATTGACAAAAAAGATTTTAAAAGGCATGAAATCAGTAGATAGCATCTGATCACGTACTCAAACATGTATGCATGCATAATGCCCTGTATCCTATTAAAAGTGGAATCAACCTATTTAATAACCAGCATAAATGCAAATGTAAAATATCTCGTTCCTTGCATTTTTTTTGTACACATGGTCAACTGTGTGACATCTGTTGCTTGGGGCTCATTCAAAATAAGTAATGGACGTGCACACTGCCCAACACGTGCATAGTTAGTCTGGGAGGTTTTTTTTTCCAAATTCAGTCACATTGAATTGATCGTCTGGATTTGTTGAAATAATTGAATAATTAGGGTAATTGCCTTGAATTTGTAAATTCTAGAATTGCATGTACATGTATACATGTACATGTACATTGTTTGTGTAATTTTTGCATTTATTCATGTTTCATCATTCACACAAAGTACATGTACATGCTTGTGTAGCAGTCATTAGTGTTTACATGTACATGTAGGTTTAGTTCATAGGGACCTTCAGACCGTGAGTCATTTTTCTAAAATTCAGTCATTAACACTTATCCATTACTAAATGGACTTGATTGAAGGGAGACACTCGTTTTCTACACGTCCAAATTAATAAGTATTAAAAGTACATGTAAAGTTCAGTGGGGGCAAATCAAGTGGAATGAAGCTTTTTAACTGAAAGTCCAAATACCATAGTACATGTATATCTCATTGTTCATTTTATACTGTTTAAAGTACCATGTTCTCACAGTTTACGGTATTTGGTCAACATAGATGTACATGTACATGCACTGCTATATTTACATGTACATGTATGTACTTGGATGAAAATTCTTGGTAGTCAGATCGATATACATGTATTTAACATTCATTTCATTACTCATCAAATAGTTTATTAGTTAATAGTAGTATTAAGTACCAGATTTTATTGGTATTTTATGTACATAAAATAAATACAGATGTTAGAGTTCACTGTCCTCAATTTTTATTGTCTGAATAGCTATAGCACATGTCTTCATCAGAAAATTTGTACCTGGTTAGAACTACCGTACACACAGTATGCTTTTTTTTTGGCTAACACATGAAATGCCATTCAGTGCCTCAGGCCTCTGGTATGGTGCTGTAGTTATTGAAATAAAAACAACAATCATATTATGTTTGCTGATGCTACAGGGCTCTGTATTCATTAAAAAATGAGGATTAAATTTTATGATGGGTTCCAGAAGGCGCTTGTACATGCCAACGACAAGGATATCGACATTTTACAGGAAGACGAGGCGTAATCCTGTCCAAGAATGTCATATGTACTCTTCAGAGGGAAAAAAAATCAAATTATTGCTCATGAATTAATGGATCCTAACAGTATGATACTTATACATGTACATGTAAGTGTGCACTCATCGTTCGTACACCAGGAATATGGATTTAGGGGATGCTTAATATTTCTGCACAAAGATCATATTACATGTGTAATGTTCTGCAGGCAGTTTTGGGTTTATCTATTCACAGTTCATATGTTGAGGTACACATGTAAACTCTGTGATTGTGGTATACATGTATGTATATGTACATGTATGTTAACATGTATATTGAAGTTGTTCTGTATTTGTCAGATAAAAGTGGTTTCATCATGTGTCATGAAAGAGTAGATTTCTAAAAGGTTGTCCAGGTTTATCAGACTGGTATTGTGTTCAGGTTAGAAAGACTTTCAGGACAGTTTTGGGAATGGCACATGTTTGTGTACCCGGCCAAGAAAAAATATGCTAGCAGGTAATTCCATTGATATATTATTCATTATTGTGAAGTTAATTTAGTATTCTGGGATTACCAAGTGTACATACAGTAGAAAGCTTAGAGTGAGAGACTAACACATTCTTCAGAGGGTGACTAAGGCCAGTGGTCATCCATAGGGATAGATTTTGTATCTTAGATGAGTGTCCTGCTGAATATGCCATGTGGGATAATGTGGAGTTGTAACTAGAGGTACTGTACATATATGGTTGGGAGTGGTTCAATTCCATTTTGATGTTTGTCAGGGCAGACTGGAAGGATGGGTTCTTGCTGAGCAGTGGTGGTGACATACATGTACATGCGTACATATTGGTCCAATTTGGTATGGGAGTTTGTTCCAACTCCCAACCTGATGAACTAAAAAATAGACTGGTTACTATTTATGATTAAGATGATGGTTGAATTGTATGAGTGTGTACTGTGCTTGAGTGACTTTTTGATGACATCAACTTTCATGCACCAACTTTTGCCTCTTTATAATTATCAGTACAACTGTAGGTACATGTATCTGAATATTGACCCTTCTTTATTCAACAAAAAGTGCCTACTTTAATTTTCCAAGACATGGAACAGACAAAGAAAACACAATATCATAAGTTAACAAGATGCAGGTTTAAATTTTCTCCCTTACAAAACCTCCTGGCATATTCGCTTGCTGCATATTGAACAAATATCTACAAATGGATGCCAACGAGTGTCCCTCCTGGTCGCTGCAAACTTCTGCTCACAAGGGTATCAGGAATAGACATAGCCTCGCAGGAGAGCATAAGTACAAACATGTATTGGTTTGGACTGGATTGTTCTGGGGAAATCAGACAAGGGGGTGAATGACAAGACGCACATCGTGAATCTATTGTAATTCATACCCCCTCCCATGAACAGCAGTTGAGGGACTGTTTTTAGTAGGGACACAGGAGACGAGATATTTGGATGAAAAGTCAAGATGGTGCTGTTTCCATGGCAGTGTACTGGCATTAGCATTCACCTGTACATGTAGGTCTTGCAGTGCTTTAGATTTTAATGATTTTTATTTCACATGGATAAGGTTTTGTCAAAGAGGTTCATTTCTCTACATAAACATTGTTGCAGTGGCTTATGTCTAGTGTGATTTGTGGACAAAATCAGCATGATTGAACAAGCCTTTTAAATTTGTGTTTTGGGCATGATTTTTGCCGTAAGTGCAAATGAGTCACATGTCAGGCCTGTTGATTCAAGCCATGTACAGTGTAGATATATATACCGTAGCACAAGGAAACAAGCTCTGGTGTTTGGTGTCGGTTGTGAATGATTGTACGTCGCATATGCACGAAAATGTCTGCAGAAGTGAAAAATACTTCAGATAAGCCAAAATAAAGCTACCATTTATCATTGTAATGCCACTGTTGTGAAGCAGCCTGTTGACGTGACCTTTGAGAAGAATTAAAATCAGCCCCCAAAAAACTCTGAGAAAGAGTCTCAATCAAAAAGCGACCACTCTCTTACTTAAGTCTGTTTCTAGGGTGCCAGGGTTACAACAGTAACATGTACACTGAACATGTTATATCCAGATGCATGCAATGTACTCATTTTTTCCTCAGTCTTGGAACAAACATGCATCCAAAACAGATGCTAGGTAGGTGCTTCTTCAGTTCCTTAGAGACCAGCATTGGCCTGCTGACATGCACGGTCATGCCCTTTGAGAAATTCACTAGTTTTACCTTTTTTTTTCCCTCATGCCACAGGGCCATGAAATCTGATGTTCTGATCTGACATCCATTTGTACGGGTAGATTAGTACCACACTTTCATAAGAATACAATTGGCTTGAACAGTAAAATATACATGTAAGTAAATAAATTGACCCAGTTTAGTGTTACATGTATTTTGTTGGATGCTGTAAGCATTTTTCACAGATTGTGTGCAACAGAAAAATATAAACCCAAAACCCAGCCAAATTCTTTTGCGTACCCCACCAAAAAAGTACATAAGTTGTAACAAACAAAATCATGAGGCCCAAACCTGTGCTTTGCTGACATCCCACTAACAAGACCATTCTGATAACTCAATATTATGCAGACTCCATAAAGACTAATGAAAGCCATGTTTGATTCAATATTTCGTTCTTTATTCAGAACATCTTCAGGAAAGACCATTCTGATTATTTTTCTTCTTCATTCTCAAATAATTTGTTGGGTATTTTGTTGAAAAGCTCGGGGAAAATGGTGATACACATTCTCAGGTGAAATTCGGAGCTTTTAAATACACTGAAGGTTAGACTCTAATGATATTTCATGTACATGTACATGAACCGATACCTGGAAATGGCTTTGGGCAGTTTACAGTGCAGGCCCCTTGTTATGGTTCCGGCAGCACAGGCCCCAATGTTGATACTGAATGCCCACATTTACATGTACATCATGCAGGCAGGCAGTGGTGCGCGCCTCTGTGTTCACCCACGTATGGAGATTGTATGCAGGCTCGTGTGCCCACTGCGTGCCTCATTGATATGCTCAGTAGCAGGCAAAGCCCGTACCTTCTCGTTCAAGGATGATAATGATGTCGGCGCAGGGCAGGGTCTTGCTGCATGACTCTGTGCTAGTGCTGACCTAGACTACAGGAATTGTGAGATGTACATAATGAGCTTGTTGATAGCTGTGGGCTGCTGTGAATTTTTAAACTAGGTAGTGTACTGTATGCCGCTTTGATAAATAGACACAGACCTTAGATACATGTAGTTATGTTTACATGTTAGGAGATGATGTAACAGAGAAATATCAAAACAATGAACACATGCTAGAAAATGTGCCATGTTGATGATATTCTACAGACATCTTATGCACTAATTTACACAATATGGACAGGTTTTTCATGTAAGGCTTTAAGGCATTTCATGAACTCAGCACATGTACTATTCATTCTGTGTACAGGTACATGTATACACGTATTTAAGCACACAGTATTCTGAGACGTCTAAAGTCAGAGATTAACCAGAAGCTAGAAGCATACTCCTTTCTTCAAAATCAATTCATCCTTTTTTAGCATGCATGTAATGTGTTACATGCCCATGTGTACGTTCAGTAGCAAGCAGAATGCTGTCAATGCTAGCATAACACTGCACCGGCGCGGTACAGGCACCTTAGTAGATTTTATCATCCGACATTGCTCCTAGTTGCTGTGTTGATTGTCAATTTGTCGTTGCGGTCAGCATACATGTAAATGTACGTGTCGTGACAAATTATCACAGGCTATATATAACCTCTGAATTTCCTAAGCAGGATATTGAATACGTAATGTGGCTCCCTATCATCCTGAAATCAATTGTGTTTGGGTGCGTGTGTACCGGTATGTGTTTAAATTTCTTAATTGTTTTGCCATTAAAAGGTAACTGCAGATCCCAGTCTCAAATTTTGGATGTTTGTGTAAAAACCGAAAGAGTACGGAAATGTGAAGACCTCATGTGCCATTGCCATTTGTTGCATGCACTTGTACTCCAGCTGTGGATTGCCTCATTTAATTTTTTCTTCCCAATTTTCTTCCATTTTGTTTCCATTTCATTTCCTGTCTGCCACCCAATAATTGCAAGCAGGATTACCTGGTTGGTGATTAGTTTGTTTCATTGCTAGTAATCTAGACACTTGCTGACTTGTAAACTTTGCACAACATAACAATTCAACCATGCTGCATCAATTAATATACGTTGTAGAAATGTATGCTCACTGGTGTCTGACATCTCTTTTTAAAAGTGTATTCATAATATCTACATTTAACCAAAATACGTGAATTAAGATGAGCAATGCCAACATTTATTCATAGTAGAAAATTTTTTCAAAGTGCAATGCACACTTTTCTGTGCTGCTTAAGTGAAATTTGAATTGAAATCCAAATTCTTGACGAGAAAACAAACGCATTGCTGAACACAATGCTGTTTTGCATCCAAATTTTGGTTCCCACAGTTGATTTCTGAAATTCTTTTTCAACATTTTTAAACAATGTAAAAACTAAAAAAGGGCAAAAAATGAGTTCTCTCTGACATGCTCATCATGATGTTAATGTCAACTGAAACTGAATGATCAATTATCAGACACTGATTGTGGAAAATCTCTTTTAACAACCTGTTTCTAACCACAGCCAGTCAACAGACAACATGTACATGTACTTGCATGTTTGAAACTGAAGAATTGTCTCATTTTTAAATGTTTGGCAAATGATTTCCTTCGAAAGTTGAATTCCATTTTATAATAGAGTAATGACATGGTCTTTTGGATCCTTTATGCTTTAAAGATTGTGCCCAGTGAATGCAAGTATTTGGCACTGTTTCAAGCATTTTGAAATTACAGTTTTCTTTATTCAATTTCTGTTTATCTACTCACAACAGTGTGCATTTTGTGATTGGTAGTTGCGCCCTCAACAGTTGCACTAATTAATGCTTTGTTTTGCAGTGTATTGCTATAACTCACAGCACATGCTGGTACCTTCTTGTACATGTACCTGTTTCTGAGTGCACATTTAGCCCCCTTCCCCATGTTTTGGGGTCACATTTACAAGTGTTCTGTGTAATAGTTGAATGATTCACTGGTACGTACTAAAGGGTGCCATTTTGTGGTAAACTTAACATTTATTTTCTGTAAGTATAAATACATAACGTACATGTATTAACATGTTAACAAATGTGAGAAAGTAGGAATTTTTTAAAAACACAATTTGATATAATGAAGACTAAAATCCTATGTACATGTATAAAGCAGTGTTAGATGTACATGAAGGTTGAAGCAGGTACATGTACATGTATAAAGCAGTGTTAGATGTACATGTTGGTTGAAGCAGGTACATGTATAAAGCAGTGTTAGATGTACATGTACATGTAGGATGAAGCAGGTACATGTATAAAGCAGTGTTAGATGTACATGTTGGTTGAAACAGGTACATGTATAAAGCAGTGTTAGATGTACATGTAGGATGAAGCAGGTACATGTATAAAGCAGTGTTAGATGTACATGTTGGTTGAAGCAGGTATATGTATAAAGCAGTGTTAGATGTACAGTACATGTACATGTAGATGTACATGTAGGATGAAGCAGGTACATGTATAAAGCAGTGTTAGATGTACATGTAGGATGAAGCTGGTACATGTATAAAGCAGTGTTAGATGTACATGTAGGTTGAGGCAGGTACATGTATAAAGCAGTGTTAGATGTACATGTAGGATGAAGCAGGTACATGTATAAAGCAGTGTTAGATGTACATGTAGGATGAAGCTGGTACATGTATAAAGCAGTGTTAGATGTACATGTAGGTTGAAGTAGGTACACGTATGTACATGTATGAAGCTTCTGTACACGCATGTCGCAAGACAAGTACACACATGGCAAGCCATCAGTGGTTGGTGACCAAGACAGAAAAAGACAAGCAAGCATTAGCTAGCAGGAGTAGGCCAAGTGCGAAATTCATGTAAAGTCAGACATCACTTTGTTATGAAATAAAAGTAATTACCGAGACAGAGAATCAATTACATGTACATGTATTATACATAATTGTTATCCAGTTGTCGCAGTTAGGACAAACTCAATATATGCTCTCAGTTACATGTACAGTACTGTTGGAATGAGCCACATTGGTGTTGGGTAAAGAGAGATTCTGCATTTATGCCTTGATGAGTATACAACAACCGTACCATGTCAATCCTTAATAATCTACCATAGTAAACATTGAGCACTTGTATTTCCTCCTATACATGTACGTGTAGGCCAGGTTCGTATTTTCTGAAGAGTTCACTTTCTTTTCACCTACATGTACATGTACAAGCCAGTAAAAAGTGTGTTGATTAAAAGTAGCTTCAAGGAAGGCAAAGACATTGTGCATTATGCAACCTTCCTCCTGTACAATGTACATGTACAAGCCAGTAAAAAGTGTGTCGATTAAAAGTAGCTTCAAGGAAGGCAAAGACATTGTGCGTTATGCAACCTTCCTCATGTACCATGTACATGTACATGTACGTCATTTATGTGAAATATCTTGGTGTGCATGAATTACTGTGTTGCTTCACCCTTAGAGCATTGATTAGAATTAGTGTTATGTGTAATTCACTGTTTCAGTGTTGCCAACCACCTGTCTGCTTAAACATAACAGAAAAGTATCTTGTTGAGTGGAAGTTAAGTTTCCTTGTTCTGCATAAATCATCGTATAATGAGCCATAATGTATTCTGCACTGTACAGAGACATGTCGTTTCTGCTACAAGTATAACCACATTACATGTATAGTATATTCTAATCCTAACATATACAGGCAATAGTATGCATATATATGCATATTTCGATTGGTTTACATCTGACGCATAATGCTAGCCTATGAACAATTCTTAATTTCTTAATTTCAACACTAATTTTTTTGTACACCCTAGAGGGAACATATGCACTTATGTACGGGAGACCTGTATCTAGTTCATTGTTCTTGGGAACAGTTCTGTTGGATGATATTTAATGTACATACATAGGGCAAAGTGTGAGGGGGGAATCTCACAATGTTCTTTATTCTTACTGGGCTTAATCGACCTATCACGATAGAATCTCATTAAGAGAACTGTGAAATATTGTCCAATCGTATGATGCTTAAAAATGATGCGGGATGGACAAAATCTGAGAGACAAAATGCAACACAAGAAACTCCATAGGGTTGTTGAAGGGATGTGACAACGTACATGTACATGTACATAAATGGAAAAAGGTTAGCTGCCTGCAGATTTTCCTCAAATGCCATTTAGAGTGTACCAGAACATTGCATTTGTAGTGGACAATGACATTATCTTCATTGAAGAGAATGGCTGGCAACCCTTGATCTTGGGAATGTCTCATCTTAGCGTGGACTTTGTTGATTAGTCAGTTTGAATGTGGCAACAAGACGTACAGTTCATTGGAATTGAATTTCATGTTGGTTGTTACAGGTCGGGGTTCTAGTTACTATCCTATAGGTACATGTATCTTTGGCCTAGCATTGGTGTCTGTTCATACTTTGTGGTTGTAATGTACATGTACATGTATGGTGGGCCCTACTTTTGGGAAGTGTCAAACAATTTCTGCACATACATGTACATGTGCATGTTCTCAGTATTGAGTCTAATCATCTTTCTGTGTTGTTACAATTATCACTTTTGTTAATCCTAACAAGTCCTCGATTTCATTATGATTTGCACACTCCCAGGGGAATTAGGATTAATCCCAACTTAAGTTGTCGGTGACATATATGTGTGACCATATATGTTCGTGTGTGAAGGATATCGAGGAGATCAATTCTTGCTGCTAGGGAGGTTTTGTTGACCTCACAAGCTTGAATTTTGATGTGAACACCACCATTAGCAACTCCTGTCATATGTTTTTTCTTGTGTGTTGTATGAGAAATAATCCCTTCTTTGTTTCACTTGAACTATGTTCTTTCCTGTAATCACAGAGGTTCTTTTGATTCAGTTTCTATTTTTATTTATCTTATACAAGTACAGAACTACCAATAGTGTTGATGTATCATTTGTCTTCCTGTTTCTTACTGTAAAATTTTACATATATTCACAAGTTTTTTTATTAGTCAAGTTGTTGATTGCATGCTTGTGATTGTGATTTGATTGTAACATTATTCTTTTGTCATTTAAAGTGTACTGTTTTGTAATATAGTTGTGGACAGTGGTAAATGACTCAGCATAATATGAAACAAATATAACATGGTTTGATGGAAGACAGTTAATCCTTTCTCCTGACATGCCTGAGGTATTGGATGGTTCATATAGTTTGTCAACAAAGAAGTTACGCACAATATCAGCCACTCAACCAAAATAAATGTATACATGTACTCCGTACCATGTTATGTTTGATTTACCATCCATGCACATGTGCCTTCTACATATTCAGTTGGCATTAGAAAGTTAACATTTCGGGAGTAACAGAAAGACAGCATAACAGCCAGGAATAAACTATGTCGAGTTTTTATGTATTTGTGCAAATGCTTGCATGTGCGTAGTTTATCAGGGCAACAGTTTTCGCCAGGAACAGTTCAGTAGTGTACATGTGTGTATTTGACCTCTGCATGGATCCTTACATACAGCAAAAATAGCACCAGCTCGTAAAGATGACTGGACTAGTGGGAATGCAGTTTTTGATCATGATTACATGCACATTCTAGGGTAAGGTTATACGCAAGTATAATGTGGTTTGAGGATGGATAGACATACTACAGTTGCTCCAAGGCCTGGGGAACACCACAATATGTGGACCATGCATAGTTTGTGAACTACCAATATATTACTGAGAGCAAGGTACTGTACATGTAATATGGTCTATCCACATGATATGAACCATGCTGTATTTGTTTTATGATATACTTTGTACATACATTTACATATTCTCAAATTTGACGTCATTTTTTGAGTGTAGGAAACTGCTGAACCCATGAACTACCATCGTCTTGTGTGTATACATAATTTAGCAAGAGCTAAATTTCTGCATGCATTATATGCAGTGTAATACCCACTGTTGGTTGTGTGCTGTAATTCATATAGATGACATTAAAAATACCAGCTGACTTGTCATAGTTTATAGACAAGTGACAGTTGGGCTCTGACCCATGAATATGTACAAGGTACCATAGACCTGTGTTAATCATGCTGTTTGTCTTGGTTAGCTTCATAGTATTTCCTACTATTTTTGCTTTGAAAGTTGCTGTCATGATAATACTTGTTTGTAAATGTTACATGCAACGGTGTGTTTACTTTAATATTGTGAAGAGAGTTTTGAAAAGAAGTTCAAAAAACAGTTCTGTTCTTTGTCAACATGCTCACATTGATGGCAGATATCCGCATGATATATGTATATGTATGGATGTGTACCATTCGTAGCACATCTCATTTCCTTTCTTTTTCATTGTGTTTGAGGCTTTAGAATAGTCAAAATAGGCTAGAGATGTGACAGTAGGTATTGCTGACATGAAGATCACAACGCACATGCTCAAATAAGATTTCCATTCCACATCTGACGTTCCCTTTAGCAGTAGAAAGGATCATACAATAGAAATACATGCATATATGTGTTCATGATATGTTTCTCTATTTATCATTCCAAAGTTCCTACCAAACAGTACACTTTCATCAAAAACTCAAGAAAAAAACAGTAACTTGTTGGCAGTGAAATCACTAATAACTGCCAGCTTTGATGAAACTGCATACATATATCTGTCCTTGGTTTCAGCAGTGTTACAAATACATGCACTGGTACGTTGGTTTACGCAGTCGTTCCAGATTGCCCATATTCACAGTCTTTGTATCAACATTGATGCTGTACCATTCTGTAGTGGTGGAATTAATCTACTGGCGGGATCCTAAGAAGACTGGGCCTGTGTTTGCCAGCGTGCTGCTGGTCCTGTTGGCTCTGAGCATGTGTTCCTTCATCAGTGTGGTGGCATACCTTCTACTGGCTGTCATGACTGTTACCATCAGTTTCCGTGTCTACAAGACTGTCATGCAGGCAGTGCAGAAGACTGGTGAAGGCCACCCCTTCAAGTGAGTGGAAAATCTCCCAATTTGGGGCTTGGTCACCAGCTTTTGGAAACATTGAGCGTGTCATTATAGACATTCTGCGTGGCAGCCATCCTTCCGGTGACTGCTCTTGTTATGGAGGGATAGAATTGAAGGTCTACTCATACGTATCCCTGTAGAACAAAAGTACCCCACCGGAAATATGGTTGCCATGCAGAAAATCTATACCGGTAACTTCTCAACTTTTAAACTCGGCAGAACCTGTACTTAATTACACAATTGTGAGCATGAAACATCGAGTGTTACCGCACTTCTAATTGGTCAGTTCAAGTTTGGCATGTGTTGAATATGGTACAGCTCCATGATACCATGGTATGGCGCCATAGTCATGTGATGAACATGGTACAAACTATAGACCTATACGTGTACCTTGCCATTTGGTGTCAGTGCTGTGAAAAAGACTTGGTATTTCTTCAATAATGTCAGTGCGGTGTAAGAAGTTTGTGTTTTCACTCAGTTGTCAATCAGATGACTTGTTGATGTCAAGAAAAATTGAAATGTTGAAATGTTGAAATGTAGACTGGATTTGACATTAGCAGTGCTAAAGTAAAGACATATTTGCACAAGACTTTAAGGGTAGAACATTCTGCACTCTAATCAGTGTGTCTTTTCTTTCTGTTATTTACATCCCATGGCAGGCCTTATTTGGACCAGGACATTACTCTGTCTAAGGTCCAAGTGGAGAAGTACACGGACAAAGTGATTGATCACATCAATGCCCACAGTGGCTCCCTGCGACACCTGCTGCTTGTGGAGGATCTGGTGGACTCCATCAAGGTAGGAGACGAGACTAAGACTGTGTCTTTTGCTTGGCTTAGGGTGCCTAGGACGGGTTAGACTGGCATCCAGCATGCATCCTCGTTAATTATTGCTGGATGATTCAGCTCCACCCACCTTATTCCAAAAAATAGGCATGTTGTATTTCATTGTGTGGAGCATTTGCTATGATGGTTAGGGTTTGTGACTCATGATCAAGGTGTGTCTATGGGCAAGCCACTTTACCCTGACTTGCCCTTCTCTGCTCAGGAGTATAATTGGTTACCAACATTAGCGAGGGAGTGACGTGAGATGGATTGGTATCCCATCCCATCTCAGTTTTATACTGCTGACACTGGAGCTAGACATCAGCCCGGTGGGCCACATTGACCTGTGGCAGTCTTGAATTTTCTTTTTTGTGTATCCATGGAAGTCTCAGATTGCACCAGGGATGATGGGAATTCTATGGGGAACCCAAGGAGTCATCAGTGGGTGCTGGATCCCTAACTGGAAGGGTTATTGAACTGCACATATGCAGTTATCAGCTACACAAGGGATATAACCCTCAAAGATTAGGACCCCCTTCTGGTAGAGCCAAGACCTTCCCCTGTGTATTGTAGATGACAGATTGTATACATCAGCACAAACACCAAAGTGACCTTTTTAAAATGTCAGTAGTGAAATTTAGTACCCCCAGTTTAGTGGTGATGTCACTGTGGTTGGTCAAATATCAAACATCAACAGTGCATCTTTAAGCACGTTTGTACGTGTAAATGTAGTTATCTTGGTCAGATTGTGTGTTCAGGATTTATCACAAATAGAGATGCTGTGTGTGTTTTTGTAGGCGAGGTCAAGTCTGTCGACAATGCTGTTATAATCTGTGGTTCTTCTAAGTTTCATTTCAGCTCAGGCCCAAGTAATATTTACTCGGCTCCTCACCATGCTCATGAGAAATAGACTGAAATAGGTTGTAAGCTTACCCCATCTTAGAACTTGCACCGTCATGCAGGACAGAAATTGCTCAATTTTGGTTTGTGATGCCTGACTTTGTTTTCCTCCCTTTTTGATACTTAGTTTGCCGTTGTACTGTGGCTCTTGACCTATGTGGGGGCTTGGTTCAACGGACTCACCCTGGTCATGCTAGGTAAGGACATGTTTTGTCAGACATTGGCTTCATTTGGTAGCAAGTTGATTGAAGGAGAGAAAGTACTGCACTGGATTGCCGCCGATTACGCTTCCAACTGACATATCATGTATCTAGTTGGCACACCACAAATGCACCATACTAAGAGCATTGGATTGTCACTCCAGCCTCTCCATTTGTCACCTGTGAGGGAGCTCTTGTGCACAGAGTAGATTCTTACAATTTCCTTGGTTTGTTCTCCTTCATGCAGCCTGGATTGACCTGTTCACTTTGCCTATTGTGTATGAGAAGTACCAGGTATGATTGTTGATTTCTACATTTTAAATTACAAAGTATCTGTGGGTTACAATATCAGAGGCATTTTGTGTCAAAAATAACCTGCCAGTCCTCTTACAAATTTCTGGGTCATGCATTGTACAGATGTAATTTACTCAGCACAAATATGTTAAAACCAATAAATTTCTCCTTTTTTTTGGGGGGGGACAATTATTGTCCTGTGTAATCAATATTTTTAATGCTCAATAAATTATTGTGCCACAAGTTCCATGAATGGGCCTCTTCACCGAGAAAATTCAGACAAAGTTTACTCGGTCTGTTTTCTCTGTATTAACAATTTTTTGATTCCTTGGAATATAATAAATTTATTGTACCTGAGTTGATGTCCTGACATGAAGTTAAATTTCATGCACCAATCACTTTATCAAAAGTAATGCTTGTGGTGATTGGATTACACATTACATGTTGTTACTGAGGCAAAAATAGTCTCCTGGAAGTAACGCAGTTGGCATATGCATCAGCCTTGTGCCCCAGGTGAAATATTTGCTGCACATGATACGTGAACTAGTATTACTCTGTACTATGTTGGCGTCGTTATCCTTGAGAAACCCATGCATGTGAGCATGTAGTGTTGGAACAGTTATGCCTATGGTATCACCACAGTTTTCAAGGACGAAAGGATTTCTTCTCACTGACCAAACTCAGTTTCCCTCTGTGTGAAAGTAGCCTCAGTATAGAGACACAAATTCAAGACTTTCATGTCAACCGTGAATGGTTGTAAACCATATAAGTGCTAAAAATGAAAAAGACTAACTTGACTAATTGCCATGTTTTTCCTGGCTAATTCTTTGTGATGTCGTGATAGAGTATTATTTTGGTTTATTCTGTCTGTTGTAATGCAATATTTCTTTTTCTGTGGAAGATTGATGTTTTTGTAATTGATATAAGACAGATTGGCCAACAGGATGAAAACTATAAATATTGAATAGTTAAGTTCCATTCTTTGAAAATCTAATAAAACAAAAACAGTTCCTAACAATCCTGTTGAAGTAAGCCTCTTTCACATGTTTTTCAGTACAGACGGTTTCATTCTAATTGGTAAAAGACTATGTCAACCTCTTGGTAATAAGTATCGGGAAAAATTTGATTACATCCATGGATGAGCCCTTGAAGTCACAAAATCTCTTGATTATTAGAGCTTCTGAAATAATGTGGTATCCCTTAATTTTCACCCCAGCACAACCCCTAGACATTCATTTTTACGATGGAGTCAACTCCCCTCAGAGCAAAGCATTTTGCCATGTGTAAATTTGATCCCTCTGCTTGTCATATTCCATACAGGTCCAGATCGATGACGCAGTTGGCAAGGCACACGCCCAGATCAACACGGTCATTGCCAAGTAAGTCAACATCAGAACCCATTTGCATAGAGCTGTCAAGCTCAGAAACTCTATTAAGCCTAGGAAGCAGTTACTAATCAAAAATGCTATGCAATGCCTATCTTGTGACTGATTCTCTGCTCATTTGGGCTTAGATCCAAAGTTTTTAGAGTATGTTATGTGAGTTATAAGTTTGGGTCCTTGGAAGGGATTTTTTTTGGGGGGGGTGGGAGTAAGCAGAAGCTGAGTCATTTAAAACAAATTGCATAGCGTGATTATGACTGTTTACTCTAGCTTTTCAAAAGTTTCTGCATTTTGGATGTTGGCAGCACCAAGGAATGTTGAATTTGATGATGTAGCTGCTGAAATCGGAACTAAGGAACTAAGACCAAACTCGTAACAAAAGACTGAGCTGCTGAGACTTACCAATCAAAGTTAAAAAATCATTTGCTGTCAGCACAGAGTGCTGGCATTAGCAGAGGTGATCCGTCATTGTTTCGAAACAGTACCATTGTTTGCCGCTGCCAGCGTCAGCAGATTATCAGCGGGGACAAAAGTCCTCCAGCAGTGGGCAATACAATACCGCTGCACGGTGGTGGAATCTGGCTGCATTAGTAAAGACTACACCGCCACCCAGCAACGCATTGGGCCCGTTTCCGGAACAAGGGAAATTAAGCAACACCACACAATGGGAGTTCTTTACAGGGCAGCAGGCGTGGCTGCAATACTCACTCACGCGTCAATGGAGGTTGCCTGTCAGATTGGACTAGCCAACAAACAGTAATTCATTTGGGTGTACAGGTCCAATTAATGAAGATATGAATTTTGGAAGAATTTTGAAAATGAAAAATCACCTGGCAGCATGTCCTGCATGCGCAAACTCCACCCAGAAAGAAGTGGTTAAGACTTTGCTGTATATGAAGTCCAAATTGACTTGCAGTTCTCAAACATGTTTTCACAACAGGGTCGCTACTTGATGTAAAGTTACTGCAAAGGTTAGGATGAAACTCATATTCACAAAATGAGTGTCCACTGAGACTTATTTTGATCAGAGTGATATCATTGTTAGTGTATTGAAATGGCAAAAATATGTTAATTAAAAAAAATTAATAAAATAAATCAATTTGTGCGCTCATCAGAATGTGCCTTTAAATCCATGATACAAAGGACTTCTTCCTGTGCTCCAAACTATACCATATGTATCTCAGATCTCAAGCTGGGTGTTGCTAATGACTGAAATTGTTCTTCATAAACCAGATGCCCACTGTACGATTTCCCGGAGCTGTTTACATTGAGCATCGGAGGTTATTGTCTGTAGGCAGAGTTTCCTTGGCCAGACATGTAAATTGATGGATATTGTTATAGGAGGTGATTTACACTATAACACGGATACAGGAAAGTAACCGTTCTTATGTTTCCATGCTGCATGTTACAGGCATGTGGTACATCTGTATGGATACATCATGTACATGTACAAGCTATTCGCATTTCACCAATAGCCACTAAATTAGATTTTGCCTCAAGGCTGTCAGCAGCTCAACTAACTCCCTTCAAGTTGGCCAGCGTACAGCACACGCTGACAACTTCTGTCTCTTGGCAAGGATTTGAGTTAAGCAGTCATATTTACTTCCTCTCGTGGCATTTCTACTGGGAACCTTTTTGAATCCACTCCAATTCCACAAACCTGGAGGAAATCAGTGACACATTCCTTGCACTTCAGTGAAATTGGGACATCAAGATCCATGTAAAGTATTGGTCTCTAAGATTTACAGAGTCCTGCTCGCTGTCAAGTGAATATAGATATTACAAAGGGAGTACATGTAAATATATGCTTGACCATTGTTGCGTGTTCGTTTAATGAGAATGGATGCTGATTATATCCCTGGCCTTCAGCAGAGTACGCCTGGGCATTATCGGCATCCATTAATTGGCCATTCTTAAACGAATGTTTAAGAATGGCCAAGCACATATTTAATTAGAGCCTTTTGAGTCATATAGTCAAAACAAGTTTTCAAACTGAAAAATCTTGCTTAATTTTTTTTAATGCCTCTCTAGCCATGTTGTGGTACATTCTCTCATATGAAGTCATAATAAACCATCTCCTTATACGGAGATGGGCATGTGCGTGGTGCAGACTGCATGAGGTGGCACACAGCCAGTCTGTGCTGTGTCAGCTTTTTAAGACTGGTCATGTGACGAGCTCTCGACCAATAGGGATGATTAACTGTCTTAGTTACAATGAGTGAAGGCACGTAGACACCATTTTCAATATGTTCCTGTGCAGTTGTTTCAAGCAAAAGCTGACAAAATGAACATGTACATTGTAACTACCAATATTAGGCATATGGATAATGCACGCTGTTGAATTATGTGGCCATATGTGTCCAAAGCTCTGGTATGAGGGAAGCATTCTCACTCATGAGCAGGACCATGTTGAGAGAGACAACCTGAGGTCATGTGTTGTTTAGTGTAGGCCTTCAGTTTGTCACCAAATGGTTGGTGGTTGTGCATTGGTTTTACACCAATCAATCAGAGGAGAGCTGCAAGTTACAGCACTTTGATGTGACACGACAAGCCATCAAGTTTGAGGAGTTACGGTTTGTGCTTGAATGCACATGTGGATTTTGGAACCCAAATGGCTTCTGATTTGAAGTTGTCGTAACTCTCTACACAGCCCTGCTCACGAATAGGCAACAGCGCCCTCTGCATTAATTGCACGGGATTTGACTCAGTCAATTCATTGAAATTGAATGGATTAATTGTTCTTATCACAGATTTATTTTTCTGATCTATATTTTCTCTCCCCTTTTTTTTTTCCCCTCGGGCTTACAGCATCAAGACCAAGATCCCCTGGTTGAAGAAGAAAGAGGAGTAAACTCCCTCCTTCCCAGAGCTGTGTTCTGTTGACGCAGATGTCAAGACACACACGTATACAGCAGCATCTTACATGAGGCATGATTTTATCAGCATTCCCCCGCACAGAACAACTCATTGTATACACGCATCAAGGAGTTTCCAACATTTTCACAGAACACCATCCCATGTATCTCATTGACAAGAAAAAATTAAGTATCAAAGTATACTGGATCTGCATTTATCCACACGCTAACATATAATACTCCGTGAGCAGTTTGCTCAAAGTCGTATGCAGCTTTGTCGTGATAAGCATACTTGATGTTTCTGGTAACACTGCGAAAACCTAAGTCCTGTCCAAAAAAAAAAAATCAGTGGTCATGTGACTGGATGGAAGTCAATTTTCAAACATTGGTGATATTGTTCTGTAGGTGTGCCGTGCTCCTAGCTAAAACTGTGTGCAAGTAAACTAACCACTAAGAGAAATATCCATCATACTACTGCGATGAAATAAGCTTATTTATGCATTTTCTGTATATAGAGGACTTGGCCAGAATAATGTAGATCATGCCCACAACTTCATGAGTAACAGGTGTGTGATTTTGGGGAGGGGTTGGGCTTTGATTTCAAGGAAGGAGAAATTTGAAGGAGTTTTAAGGCCACAGATGTGCGACATAGTCTACAGTTTATCACGCATGCAAGTCCAGTTGAGATTTTAAACATGAAACTGAGATGTAGCAGTGTTTTCAGTTTTCAAAACCTTGTAAAACATACAGTTGATGAAAGCCTTATGATCATATAGTTGACGTCAGCACCTATTTGTTGTACGTTATCTAGTTGAAGCATCCACATAACATGAGGTACTTGTGAGGCCAGCAAGCGAATTACATTACTCTCTTAGCATTGTAAGAATTTTGGATAATACAAATGGTCGTTTTTCCAGCTACTGCCGTCTGTTTGTAGAAGTGATGGTGTGTGTGTCCAATTGACCTGGGTAATGAAGTAACGATGCTGTTTTGTGCTGGCACAGTGTTAAGCTTTTGCTACGTACACCTGCCCCCATCGCCGAGGAAAAAAAATCCCAGATAAGGAACTGCTGAAAAACTGTCTTGAAAAATATCTGTGAATAATGCTTCAAATTCCACTGGAGCAGTCTGTTAGATTGCCCTCCAGAGGTGTGTATGTGTAAAGTAATTGTAAGCATGACAAATAAATATTGATATAGCGCTTGATAATACTAGTTCAAAAAATGCTGAGAATTCTGGGAGTGACATTGTTTTGTAAAAAGGATGTTCCATGCTATCGAATGTAGTAAGAATGCAGTGGTCTTAGCTGTGTGCAAATCAAGTCTGTTTGGTTGAAAGCTTGAATTTATACCATTTACCACTTGCACTGGTCACAAATGCGCAATTTGGATACAGTTTGGTTACACAGTGGACGTCTGTCTTGCTGCAGTCATGTTGTCGTAATCACCAAATTCAATTGTACAGCTAACCATTTGACATGTCATAGGAACCTAGTTATCTACCTTGTGTTGACTGAAACAGCCTCTTGTGTATAAACCAATCCAACGTAGCTGTAGTACAGTCTAGATCAGTGAATCACAGTTGTCATTGTTACTTGGTTAGACAGTATATTCTGAGTTTGGATTTTGGTCATTTTTCCTACAATTCATCATTCAGTAAGACTATTGTAATGAAAAAAGGCGAGCTAGAATTTTAGGATAGGATAGACAAAGTATTGTAGTTACTGCACTATAAATGTTCCATCAAAATTGCTTGATAAAATCTTGACAAGTTGTGAAATAAGTGTATGTACATCCAACGTTGTGATTGTGACTGTATATTGTGTCTTCAATCAAGTTTTTCACCATCATGTTGCTTGCAGACAAGACTTTGACTTGACAATCGGGTTGCTCACGTACCAGTTCTTTAAACTCTGCATTCCTTTGATCGAACAAAATATTTACAAAAATCTATTCTGTTGTAACTCCGATGTTGCAAATAAGACAAAGTACAACTTATAGGATGTTTTGTGTACACTGTATTTACTACTTAGTAAATTTTTTGAAACACCAATGAAGGCTTAAGCTTGTAGGTTGTCTTGGATTCATTAGCATGAGCTTGGATAATTTTTGTTCATCGAAATTGCCGATTGTAGCTACTTTGCATGAACCTTTGCCATTATTTCATGGAGAACCTTAAGAGCAAGTTGTTCAGTGTCCATATTCTAAGTAAGTGCAGTGTAAGGAAGTAGAATATAGGTTACATGTCGTTGTTTAACTGATCACTATATGGGAGAGGACGTGTAATAACGAAGCAGTGTTTTGTCACAAGGGGGTTTTCATAGTGAGTCTTGTTATCTTACTGGACAAGTGTACTGATACGATTCTGTAATTCTGTTTGCAAGACTTCCACTGATTCTTACAGGACAAATAAGAAAATTGTAAAAGTAAAGAAGCACTTCATCCTAATGCCAGATGAGTCACCATGAAGCAGTCGTTTTGTGTAGGTCCTGCTTGCCATAAAAATACAATTTTTTTTTTATAATCTGCTGTTTGTCAAACTGTTGGTTTACACTTAAACCGTTTGACATCACAGTGCGAGTATTAGTGTGCTTTCATTTTTTAGAACAAATAATTACGTTACGTGTTGCCAGAGTTTTGTACTTCATATTTCCTTCTGTCGTAAGAGTGCAATTTGCTGGAATTAAACATTCTGATGCTCTGGGTTTTGAGTTCAGTCGATTGTTAAAATCTGTAAATACAATGATATCTTTAGTAAATTTTGCCTTTCGCTGGTAGTATTACTGAATTAGTGCATTGTTGTGTTGAGAAAACGCAGCTTGAAAAACACTTCGAACTTAGTGGCTTTATAAATTCACAATGATTTGATTTAGGGTCCAGAAATTAATTAGTTTAAAACTTACTTGTACCTGCTTTTTTGAACAGTCCTTACGGGATATCGTTCTTTCTTTGTGATCGTTTAGTTTAGGCTCTCTTTGGGTAACAGTTAAAATAAAACCGAGTATGGCTTGCAGATACTTGATGGGACAATCAAATTGAAAGGAAAAAAAATGAAAAATGTTTGAAAACCATGCTATGTTACCTGCTTTGTCATTTCTGCTTTAATTAATCTCGATTTATGCTGTAGGAAAACAGCATCGTGGTGTTCTTTTACGATTTGGAGAGACCTGTTGCAAGAACTATATTAATGTGTTGCTTTGTGTACAAGTAACGTGTAAAACATGCCGTTATAGCTCTAAAAGAAATGTTGGATAGGATTCAGGCTCGTTGAAGTAATGAAAACATTTCGTATCAAGATAATTGTGTTTCTAATGTTGGTTGGAAGGAGCTATGAAACTGGTGTAATTTTTTTTTAAGTCTTAACGATTTGTACTGCGGTTTTGGCAAGTTTCACAATATTTCAAGAAATCTTTCAGTAGATGAGAATGGTTGTTAATCTGTCTTGTGCTCTTTTATTTAATGCCAGTGCGCTGGTTGGCAAATCATTTAGGACTTTGTTAATTTAAGTTGGACTGGATTTTGTTTCGGCATTTGGCATTCCCTCACCGTGTGAATTTGTATCGAAATGAAATAAAGTGACTATTAAAGCCAAAAAGATGTTGCCCCTTGCCAGTGGTTTCTTGAGGAAAAAGTGATGAGACTTAATACAATTTGAGAAATTAGTTTTGAGTTGCTTTCAATTGTCGTGAACAATCACCATGAGCGAAAATTGTCTCCTTTTTTCTGTCTTTCGAACAATATTTCTGCAAATCGCACTTTGCTCTGAGTTATTAGTGAGTCAGAAATTGTACAAAACATGCAGCTAATTTCACAGCTTTCTCTGTTAACATTTTCAAGGAAGGGTAATGCCTATACCACAGCTTTCTACAATGTTATATTACGCTTTCCGTGTAGAAGGTTGATGGGGATACTCCGGGCGAAGACGTCAGTTTTGATTTTTGTTTATTTATTTATTTATTTTTTTAAGATTGCGACAGTCAGATGATTTATCGTTATAAAGTGACCCGCTCAATACATGTACAGTTTTTATAAGGGTCGTTTTTTGGGGGAAAGTCATTTGGTATTCTTTATCAGATTTGTGAGAGGCCAGTTTCTTCATTCGAGGGCTTCCAGTGATTATTGTTCTATTCAGGCTCCTCGGTGATTCCTTACAGAACACCATGATGATATCGAGAGAAAAGAAGGTCCGATACTAGAATGTCTTGGCCAGCATTGTCCACCTTTTGCTGCACGCTATCTTTTCTATTTGAGGCAAGAGCTGAGTCTTTCAAAGAGAGAAAAACATCACATCCAAACTAGTCGGTAGATATGACACATACACTGCTTCGACTTTCTGCTGCCACTGCGTGTGAATGGTGGTACCAAAGCTAAGTATATCTTGTAAGCCAATACAAATGAAAGCCAAATGTATTGACAAGGTCAAGTAAACCAATCACAAGCACAACACAAATTCCAAAACTCGACATGGTCCTTTGAGGCTTTGTTTTTGGCGATTTTATATTAGATTTACCATTTTCTGAAAGGATTTTAATAAGACCGTCGCAGTTTCTATGTGTTGGGGCTTGGTTATCATCACTAGTGTGCATCTTTTCTTAACTTCCACCTCCATGTTGCTGCAAAGATTGACCAGTAGTATCCAATTTAATACCATATCAAGACACGAATAGACCGAGTGAATGGGTAGGACATGAAGTGGGGAATTTTTTAAATATTAATTTTGTTCGTTAGAAAGTGCACCTTGTCACATTTACTATTTGTGAGGGCGCTATTTCTCAGCCCACAGAGATCCTACGATCTCTGTGTAGTCACCCACTTAGACACCACGAACGGACAGTCCTCTGAATATTGTAGGCGTATTGTTATTTTATTTTTTCCCATTTGCCTTAAGTTCTCTTTGTGTTTTGTTTTATATCTATCGCTTTCACATTCTAGGTCGATTTCAAACAATTCCGACTATTTTTAATCGATGTTCAGTTCATAACTGGAACTCAGAATTACACGATATAGTTGCTTTGGATCCGATACTGACATTTAAAATTTTTTCATTCCTTAAATCAAACTGAAATAAGATCTACATGTATATGTAATATATCTCCTCCACAAAATCTAATTTCTAACCCCTATTGGACCTACTGCTGGCATTTAATGCACTGTCTGTGCCACTCGAATTTTTCTATGCATTTTACAGTTTTTTCTTTGCAAAATGTCTGTGGCGATTTTAAATTCTAATTAGCCAATTTCATTAAATTTAGAAAAGGAAATAATTGCATCACTTTTACTCTTACAGACATAGTGATGTTGTACAAGTCCATTTAATTATCTTTTTAACAAAGCAATGCAACACATCTGCTTTTACTGCTTTTCACTTTTACTCGCTGGATGATTTTAAGTGCTGACTCCCACAGTCTCAAGATAAATTCTCATTATATTACTTTCAACTTCAACCATCCATTATATGTAAATATTACGTTATATAGTAATTATTATGAACATGCGCTTGTCAAATTTGTCACTTTCCCCGAAGAATGAGCCTAATGTGTTGCAGACCTTGCACTCCTAATTCCAGATCTCCTACTTCTTCCATTTCCTTGACGTAAGATTCTCGTGCTCAATCGTTACTTCTCAGCCTCGTTCACCTCAGTGAGCCAATGCTGTCGTCTCACTAACCTTCACGAGAAGGCTGTAAAATAATGGAGTACAAATTCAAAATCGCGAAATATGTCTTTTCCTGTGACGAAAAAGGATGCACCCGTTTCAACCATCATACATCCGCATCACATTATGACCTCGGAAACCTCCACTGGAAAGAAATGTCACTTACCCTATAATCGATTCTTTCGACTTGTACATCTGATTCGATGAAGAGAGATTGTACGGTGTTAGGGTCAACGCGGTGTTTGAGGTTGGCGAGTTCTCGGCCGTTTACAGACACCTACGAAAATAGGAAATCGGGCATCCAGAAGTTAACTGTACCCATTGTTATTCCTGTATCCAAGCAGATTTTGAACTGAACATCGACGGATGCCACGCCCAGGAATGTAACTCAAAAAAGATCACCATACACAATGACCTCTTTTCCAACACAACTGTTGGACATGGTAGATTAAAATTTTTGAACTGATATTCCACAGTTAGGAGACTTTCATTTGTTATAATTAGTGGATGACGAAACCTCAGAGAGTCGTCACTAAATAACAACTCTAAAGGGCCATTCGATGCGGTAGTATCGAAGGGAAAATGGACGAGAATAAATCGTATTCAGCCAAAGTTTTTGTGCGTGAATGTATGAGGGCAAACAAAATAAATCAAATTTCCCTAAGCGTAAATGGAATACTGCACTACCTGATTGTGAGATCCCATGTACTTGATCTGGATGACAGCCTCTCCTCCTTGCTCCAAGGGAAGCTTCTCTGAGGTTTGCAGCGTGCCCCATCTTTGCCCCTTCCTTGCATAGAAATTCAACTCCTTGGTGAAGAAATCCGCCGAGATGAGCAGGGCAATATCGTCCATCTGTGTGTTGATGCCAGCCAGGAAGCCAATGTTCAATCTGATACAAATTAAAAACAGCTGATGAGGGGAAGCATAAATTATACAGGCTGCAAGATAATCGGAGTCCAGTTGGTTTCGTGTGCGAGCGTCCCAGTGACACGTTGTTAAAACTCCGTATTTGTTCACTTTCACTGGAGCATTATTTGTTTAAACCTTTTTTCTTCCATCTGTGTTACACATCTTTGTCCTTGCATTTGTCAGTCTTCATTGGAGTATTTTGCAGTACGCCTGTTCACTTACCTGCGACTTCTTTCAGGTATGGTTAGTGTTACGTCTACCAAATCCCCCACTTCAAATTCCTTCACGGAATCACTGTAGCTCACGCAGGTAGTAGACCTGGTCCGGCCCCGGGAACGTCTTGACATACAGCAAATGTGCTGTGAAAAGGTATAATTTGCATGAGTCCCTCTCTAGCAAAAATTCCACTTGTTAAGGCTCGGGTACGGCTGCTGTGCACAAAACCCAATAAGATTGACTTCCCAAAATATGAACGTTTCACGCAGGTACAACAAAGCAACAGTGTTTATTTTGACATCATATATATATGACATCGTATTTGACATCAAGTATGTGCAAGAAGAGTTACTTACGTTGTTGTTTCCATTAACGTTAACAGAGTTGTTGCTGCCCATTGTGTCGCTTGCCTTTCGAAGAACAGAAAAGCGTCCAACGACAAGTTTAAATAGAATATTGATAATAGTTTCACACTTTATTGTAGCTTCATATCGAATTTGTCTTCATTATTTCGGGCATTATAGAATGTATTGATTAATTGATTAACATAGGTCAATACCCACATAGGGGCTTTTTAATTCTCACGGAAACACAAGGAACATGAAACATAGTCCCAATGGCTATACTTTTAGGTGTTTAAAAGCATGTGCTTACCTCACTGTCCTACGTGTGGATGAACGACGATAATCGGCTTGACAAGTCCACACCCGTACATCAACTACACAAAATGACCTGCACGGGGTATTTTATTGGTGGAATAAAGTCCTTATATGGGGTACTTCACGTTTAACTTTGATTGGTTGCGGTTTGATCAGTGACATTTTAAAGCTTAATGAGTGGTCTAACTGAATTTGACGGATGTCTTCCGGAAACACGTGGTCTGAATATTGATGGTGACATTGTAATTGGTTAACCTGACTGGATCATCTTTGGCTTCTTAAACCCTGGACACCCCTCACACTTTTCCACTTACAGATGAAAAAATGCATCGTAATTCAGTAAAGAAAACTCAATGCTTTACAACAGTACTCCCAGCCTACTTCTCAGTTAATTTGCTCGACAAGGAATCGTGTATAAACGTGAGATTTCATCGCATTATCGTGATTAAATATACATAATCAATCTGACATCATTAATACCGATCGATGATGATCAGTGTTCTGCGACTTAACGAGGATTGACACTGTTTCATGTAGACTCATTTCATCTTATGACAACGCTTACTCCGACGAGTTGTATCCTCAATCTGCAAGGCGTAGCATAACACGCGTTGGATGTTCAGAGATTACGAGTCTAGAAGTTAGATACAATTCTATGTCGAAGTAGGCGTTAATTACAGTTTCCGTATGTGTTTTCAATCATTTTTTCTCTAAACACAAGGAAAATCCGGAGTGAGTTCGATTCCCTGTGGTTCATGTCCCCACAACCGTTTCCAGGACAGGTTAAATGCACACCTCATCACGCGGTTTTCCTTTTCTTGGTACAGTCAAGGTTACAGCTAGGTAGGTTGGCACCAACTTTGGGGTTATCCAGCGTTCAGGTCCCTTGGCAGCTGGTAACAGAACTGAATCAACGACCGTTGAAAAGTTCTTATTTTTTGCACTTTTCGGGATCACCACATTTGTAACAAGTTTGATATTGTACAAGTTTTTGACAACACTAACTTTTTGCGTAAGATTATTGCACAAAAGGTGAGGTGTATTTGGGGCAGGTTGTTGAGGGAAGAACAGCGAAATTTTGGAGGGTGGCAAGGATTATGAGAACTTTTTCATCTCTGTGGTCTCTCAGAGGCGTGAGGCTAAAGTTTGGGAGTTACCCATTTTCAGGGAGGAGATAAAGTGAAACAGTGACAGTCGCTCTTCTTTTACTGTATTTCTAAACGAGAACAAGTTCCTCTTTGGGGGTTACTTAATGCGCCAGGAGGATCCAAGTTTGATCTTGGTTATCTCAACATTATGGCCCCTCTCAAGGCAATACATGCATTCAATGAAATAGATGAGAAACTACAAATACGATGTTCCCCAATCCCTCCCTTCAAAGTTGAAAGCACTAATAGACAATCGTTGAAAATTTTAGTTGCGAAAAACCAACACGTCACCCCTTCTGTCACAGTTCTCTCGTGTCGTCATTAATTAAACAATAAGCTTCTTTTTTTAAAAAACAAGTTGGAGCTTCAACAATTTTTACCGAAATCTATACCCGATATCGGAGGTTCATGGTACTGACATTCGTTCCATATTATCATTATCTCCAGGCACTCTACATTTGGAGAGGGGTGGGTTTCTGTCGGTTTAGTTGTCAGATGTACTTTCTTCATTTCCCCCTTCAAATCTAGGAAAATCCGGAGAGATAACTAGGTATTAAATTTCAGGTTGCCGTTCCAGGCCACACAGATATTTTCTGTCCTTGATCTAAATTTACAATCATGCATACTAACTTCGCAATTCAAGTCCAAATCCACCTTTTGGATTTAAAATCTTACCCAACACCGCTCACTGAATTTTGATCAAACAAAACTCGATTAACTTGTCATATTACATCTTGTTTTAAGAATGTCATTTACACATGATTGCTCATACAGTCATGAATACTGGAAAAATCGTTGCGAGTCTTTCGACCTCCGACGAGGTAAACTGTTCTAGTGATAATTTTGGAAAAGCAACCGAAACAAAAAGGGGAGAGTCAAAATAATGGTAGAATAATCAACACATAATTAGTGTATTTAATGGTCGTGTAGCTGGTGGTGGATGGTATTACCTAATTTAGATTTGTCATTCGTGTATCATTGGCTCACTTTGTTTAGTAAATTTATTCCACTTTCACCACGCATTCAGCAAATCTAGTGGCACATTCTTTGTGGACGAAAGACCTCTAAATTTCATGTAAAATTGCTCTGTGTCAAGACTGTGTGGTAGTATGAAAAGATTAGTTGGGATAAAGGAGTCCATTTGTTCAGACTTAAAATGGGAATGCTTTTAGTCTCAACTCCTTCAAGGAAAAAGAACGCACTTCAATCTAGCAAACATAGCCGCCGAAGGGGTCGAAGAGCTACGTTTAGGAATGATCCATATGGTTTTTTTTACATTTATGAAAAATACTGTTGTCCTATTTGTACTTTTTCGAATTTGGCACACCTCAGCTTGCAAAAAGTGTGTACAGGTCGCTCGGTGGAAGATAATAATGAATTCTGTCTTGCAACTCAGTTTAGGCGAAAGCGATTCCCTTACGCTTTCAACATAAAGGGCCTCAGCTTAATGTTTCGTTGTTAATGACACCAATAGCGGTTACAGGATTTCTCGGTTTCAGTTTTTGTATTAACAATGTACATCTTCAGGTGAATATTTAATAGTTTCTGCTTTGAACTAATGCATGCAAATGTATGTATATTTATGCGCTAATTATTGATTACGGAGCTATGGAAGTGCCATCCAACTCGTTTAGATACTGAGTTATGGCATTTCAAGAGCTCCATTGTACGTACTGACAAAGGCTGTATTTGAGCCCTTTTCTATTTCCATTAACCCTTGGAGGAACTGTTTATTTTAATAAATGTTATCACTAAATTATCAAATTAGTTATAAGCAACAAATTTGGCATTGAATTGTGGTGGAGTCATCCACACACGTTGCATAATAGGTTTTAATAAAGTCCTATGTTCTCAGTGCCATTTTGTACGTTTTGGCCTCGTGGGACTTCAGAACTGACCCTAGAAGGCAGTAATTTGTATTTTGCAACGCCAAAAGTGAGGGAACAATCGAAAGGTCCATCTTGATCGCCCAAAGGTGTGGGGGGTAGGTCTAGTACCTGTGATATACCTGAGTAACTAATTCTGAAGCCCACTGTATTTCAAAGTCCAAACCGATATAAAGCCCCACTTTTTTGGAGTTGTCTGCTCACGTGTCTTTTTTCTTCTGAAGAATCTGAGTCTAAGCTGAACTATACGAAGGGCATGAATGGGGGCACCCCACCAACGAACCCCAACCAACCTGCAGTTTACCAGCTCTCAGTACCCCACTGAAAAATGTGCACACTTCCAAGCGCGCCCTCGATGTTTCACCGCCACTGGCTATACGAAGGAAATCCTTCATAAAGAGTTACTTTGTTCAAACTACATGTATACGTTTAAAACAAAAGGCTTGGTGTCATCGTACTGAAGAATGTCTGTGCTTTCCAACGATTCATTGATTTCTTCATCACTGAGCATTGTTGTTTTGAAAGTTTGTTTAAAATAATCTCCCCCAAAATAAAGCTGATTGTCAAGAATATTTCGTTCTTCTTNGATAACCGAAATGTATTCAAAGCACTCAAAATGGAGACCACTAAAAACAGCCATGCCATTCTAATGTAAGGTTCTGCATGGATATAATACATAATCACAGATGTATATCTGCATCATGAACATCGCCCCCATACAGTGTCGTATGGTGTCAGCCCGTCTCTTTCTTTCATATTTCTATTGCCAGGCAAGTTATCCCCCACAAATTCCAATCTACACCTCCCCCATAATTTCACAAAATTTACGCCACTTACTTATACTTTTCCCTTGAAGCTCAGGCTTACAGATCCTTTCTTTTCATCCTAAAATTAGCTTGTTCCAATCCAAAGCTTTTAATCAAATTTGTATCATGTAAGTGTTTTTCATTACACACAGGGTTTTTTCTTGTGCGCATGCTTTGTTTGTTGGATAGAACGTTTCTTTTTTCAAGTGAGAATTTCCCACGATTTGGGAATCTTTTCAAGGCTGACTGCTTTCTTGTAAAAGAGTCAAGAAAATAAAAATACTACTTATGTTTTGGCATGCATAAGGCTACACAGTAAAATACAGTGACAATTCAAGTACCATTTATTTATTATGTCAAATAATGTTACAGAGAGTTGGTATTGATTATGAACAGTTACGTCTACACTGCCTTAAGACATCCATCCCTGCGCTATACAATTGAGCCTATAGGCCTACTTCATGGGTGTAGGAGTGATTTCTCTCTCAGTTTTGTTCTCTCTTTTTCGTAGACAAATCTGACCCGGGAAATGATTCACATTGCCCCCGTTTTCATCAAACTTCAACCTCCTTTTTTGAATAGTCACACAAAACTTGTAACAAATGAAACAAAGATAAAGCTATCACCTTCTCGTGATGTATTATTTTGAAGCACTGAGTTAAATAGAACGGATCAAAAATGCATGGTACTACATGGAACCTCACAATATAACACCTGGCTGCGCTTTCTCGATTTGGCTCAATTTAAGGTAACGAATTAGACGCCATTCCAGATGGGCTAGGGTCATCTCCCTCTTATTACCATTTTATGGGGGGTACGTTTAAAAGTTGGAAGACCTCCGTAAAAAGCATAAACCATGTGAGGGTCCCATAGTTTGCGTGTACGGTCAAGGACAAAGCAAACAAATTAAATGGCCGTCTTTGCCCTTGTTTGTCACGGACCTCCAAAGTATTAAAGAGAGTCAGAAGTTGGAAGAGAAGCCTACATTTAAGAGGGGATTTTTTTTTCAGTTTTGCCGGGTTTTCCCTGACATTTCTCTATTTGTGAACGGTGAGGAATATCACGAACGCTCTAATGAGAAAGTATCATGCAAGAAGGAAACCGTATGGATGAGAACGGAAAGTTTTTGTTTGTGCCTTTTAGTCGGGCAATTTGACGTCATTGTACGTATAAGTGCAACGCAGTATAGGCCTAAGTCAACTCATACCGAAACGCACTGGTATCCAGCT